AAAAATAATTGTCATAGTTACACAAGAGTATTTCAGACAAAAGATAATTTGATATATTCACTCTATTTTGCCTTTTATTTGTCTTGGCATATGACTGAAAGAAGCTGAATGAAATTACAAACTCATGTATGAACAATAACTGTAATAAATACTGTAATTAAAAACGAAAGAATTTCACAATTTCGAAAACGTAAATGCTTTATAGCAGTGTTCAATACTTGTATGTACTTTTTATATTATGTTTAATATTTACATGACTGTTTTCCAATAAACCACACAATGTACTTTCAACTGGCCTGTAACACTACAATGTATATCTCATGGTGACAAATGTAAAATATGCATATAAGTATGTAATCAATCACGCTGTTCATTATATGACGCTGAATGATTTCTCATACTGTTTCTTTAGTTTATGTGTGTATGAGCTATGGATGGAAATCGTTTGTTAATATGCGCTTTAAGTCAAGCTTACAACCCTGGTGGCTACGTACTCTGCTGTATCTAAACAAAGCAATGTAAGAACCAATTTGTGTTTATATATATTGATAGTAAAGAAATTAGTACATGCATATACTAGTACTTTTTCCAACTGCTTTTAAGTACTTTTATGGTCCAGTTCATCTAAAATAAATTTATAAACGTGCGAATGTGCGGCATTTGTATATCTTTAATTATTAGACAAAATAACAGTATGGTTTAGAAATACTACCAAATCAACTGCAAAAATCTGGGTCTCTAAAACATATCTGATTAAAAGAAACGACGCCAAGTCGGCGAACCTGTCTCAAAACAGAAAGTTCATATATTCAAAGTGTTTTATTTCATAATACATATGTGACTGCTTATAATATATAATTCATTGTAACGTATAGTACAAGTCAAGTGCGGGATATATATATAATACACACTTAAAATAGTAATCGACATTGTTGAAAAAGACTGTATCAATTATTGTGCAATATATCTTCACACGTATGTTACCATGTCCTTTTATGCTACTAGTTATCATATTCACAAATAAAATTCAAAGTGTTGCTACAGCGTACGTCATTCCAAAATAGATCTTTGCTGAAAGAAATAATATTACAAATATTTGTTGCAATTTTGATAACATTGTGAAAAGCAATCAACATGTAAATATTTGGGCCGAATATAATTGCGATGCGGTAATTGTAGCGTAAAAAAATAAAATAGAATGAAAGCTCAGAAAGAACTCCTGTGTCCTGAGAGTATTGAAAACTTATAATATGTCGATTATTCGAAAGCGGAAATGTATATTATTATTAAAATTTAGGTAATTATAATGGATGTATATAAACCCAAAATTAATTAGATCGTCACATTATCTTATATGTACCAAGTTCATTGAAATAAGATTCGTACTTAAGATATTGATGGAATACATTTTATTGTAAAACTAATAACGTCTGCACAATGTCACATACCATCTATATACCAAGTTCCATTGAAATGTAAGTAGAAGGTCTGCGTATTTTATGACCATCTATGTACCAAGTTCCATTGAAATGTGTAATGTACTTGACATATTAATGTAAAGCCGAACATTGGCTAAATATGTATATTTGGTGATTAATATGCACGATAGTTTTACCATAGTTTTAGAGCATATATGTGCCAATTGTCATTGAAAATATCAGCAAAATTGACTAATTATGCAAAATAGGTAATTAGTACACGTATATTAACTCAAAACATATCAGGTCTGTACAAAGTTTTATTGAAATGTGATGATTAGTACTTGAGATATAAGTATAATAGCCCGAAACTAATCATTAGCAAATCCAGTAATTGATGTGCATGGATATTTACTCAAAAGTAATTACATCTGTCCAGAGCATCTATGTACCACGTGTCATCAACATTTAATGAGCGGTTCTTTAGATATCAGCGGAACAGTCATGGAACAGCTAAAATATAGCTAATTATTTTGAAAATTAGGTCATTATTAAGCGTAAATTTCAACCAAAACCAAACTAAATCTTTGCATTAGCTCAGGGCATCAATTCATCAAGTTTCATCAAAAACTTACATATGGTTCTTGAGGTATAAGTGAAACAGACAGTCAGACAAACACACACACGCACATACACGTCTTACCATCGTTCTGACGACACGCATTGGATTAACTGTTAATATATAGTTATGTTTTGATTAAAAAGCGACTCTATATAAGATTGCGATTTAATAAAACTCAATTAAATTAAGTTTCAATTTTAGCTCAATTAAATAAAAATGCAATAAAATAGAAATAACATCATGCAACCTGTGATTTAACATAGAAATGTTAGGGTTAGTAAAGGGGATCGGTATGGCACATTCAATTCCCCTTTACTAACACAAAGCTACGCAAAATTGACTTAAATTCGGGTCGTGATGTATTAAATGCAAAGACTCCTATATAACCAAAATTCAAATATGTTTGCAATATGACATTGACAGTTATTAACATTTGTTAAAAACAAGTGTCACTTACGTTGTCATTGCACAGTCTTCGTGATCTGCATCACTTGGTTCATGTGGATACTGCCTCCAATTGATAAACAGAAGAGGTGTGCCATCTGCATATACATAATGACTTTCAGTTCGGATATCATTAACTCCGGTCCACCAGCTCCCTAGTAACAAAGCACTAGTACTAACCTCTTAAATTATCAATATGAGAGTGGTTACAGACAAAATACTAGTAAATGTATCATTTTAAGCAATATTAAAGCAAGAAAACCATAGATGATATAAGGCCATAGTTGTACTATTTTGCAAACGGCCGCCGAGATGTCGTTGACAGCGAGAGGGCCAGGTGATTTGATTTGATTTTCTAATGTCATCATGTCAACTTTTCACCGGAACTATATAACAGGAATAGTAAATTGTTTCTATGTGACAGTGTCTCTCTTTGCCCTAAGTCAAAATACCTTTCCGTGTCAGGTAAAGATGTTGCAACCATGATTTAATACACAGAACTAATAATACAAAAGTTTTTCAACTGCTGTGCATCAACATCGACACTGCCATCTGAATCTGAATTCATATTGCAATAGTTGAACAATACAATCCAAGAAGAAAATAAATATCAACCACCAAGTAAATCGTCAATCAAATCGTTGAAGATATTTGAATCAAAGGATTCTTTCAGTTTATTTTCTGCCATCAATAATTTTTTCTCAAGCTCCATAAAAAAGTTACATACTTTTTCAGGTTTATTAAACTAGACTTGATATTTTGCCTTTTTGTGTGGTTTTAATTACATCAGGTTGAACGTACATCTCGGAAGTCTGAACGTACCACCTAAATATTTTATATTACACTTTGTAGGAGCCAAAGGTTACATTGATCTTGGTTCTAAAATATTATCATCACTGCTTCGCATATGGTATATGGTGACTTTTGCAGCAGTGTTGTAATAGTTTGATTACATCGCTGGCAATAATTCTTCATACAGCTGTTTGTAAGTATCTCCCATCAGGTAAGAGTAGTAGTAGTACATAAATATTACAGGTTGACCTGGATTGAGCAAGATGTTTGAAAACTGGGGTGACAAATGCTTTATACCTGTTAGCTTTGCGAAAACCTCCAGACAAGCAAGATTTTCAAAATGATATGTATTTAACATATTTAACTTCCTGGGATGAAATTGGGGAAGACAGGATCTTCAATGCCCATCATCACGTCAAAATCACCTACTTCATCCATCGGATCCAAGGGAATTTATGGTATTTGTCTTTCATCATCACTCAGAGCCTCTTCCAATTGCCCATCTGTCCAGAATTGTTTTTTGTTTATTTTCGTACAGTTGACATCAATAATCAGTCATTGGGCTCGATTAACAGTAATACAAAAAGCAAGATGAAAGTAAGTATCCACTTGTGGAATTTGTGAACACTTTCTTGCCAATTTTCAAAATTAAATTTGTTGTGTCCCGTCTTCTTTAAATTGGAATCTAACCATATCCT